GATAGATAGAAAGATAGATCTCAGAAATGGTGTACAGACCAGGACCTAGGCACTAGGTTTTAAATTATTTGGAAATCTGGCTGTAGCCACTCATGGGTTGCTTCTTTCATTTTTAAAAATCATTGCATTTCCCCATTTTTTTACATTTGAAGCTAAATCCATACATGCTTACTCAACAGTAAGGTCACTTAAATGAATGGGTCTTATTCTGAAGTAAATATGCATAAGAATACAGCTTTAAACATTTAATTTATGAGAGGCTCCAGGACTCACCTCTCTGAAAGCCATGCTTTCCAATCAGGATATTATGATGCCACATTTGTGTAAAGTGGCTGTAATTATGCAGTTGGAAGGAAGCGTGGATTCTGCACATTATCAGATGCACTGTCCTTCTCAGCCAGACAGACAACTGTTCAATTGATGGCATACTGTAGGTAGGAGATCCCATACAGTCCAGCTTCCCAGGACTTGCCCAATTTTTACTTGATCATCTATTGCTTTTTTTGTTGCTAAATTAAACACTGTGTTTCCACTGTAGCATGCAAAAATCAATCAGGCTTTGGGGGTATGTTCTTCTCCATATTCACATACTACTTGTGCAAATCAGGTAATTATAACCAAGGCTCTGTACACTTACAGAAAAACCACAGAAAGACGTGTTGACTGCAGATACCAGTAATGTGCTAACCTCAGCTATCATTTTCAAAATGCCACATTTTGGTCCACATTTGGCTGCAAGGATTTTAATGTGTGTCTGGTGAAACGTCCAAAATTGGGAAAGGGATTTCAATGGGATTTTCAATGGTGAAAACTTCACCATTGATCTGCATAGTTCATTCCCTCTCCTGATAATTAGCAGGATCAGAATTATAAAAATGCATGCAAATGTCCTTAATTTCCAGGTAACAGATTCTGATACATAATCTTTATCTATTTTAGTTGGTGTGAATACGTGTAATAATTTCAAGGACTAACTACTGGCTTCTGAGGCAAATTAAAAGCTTCAGCACCAATGACTGCCTGCACCAAACTGGAATTTATCAATACACTTCATTTTTTTAAATATCTTATAAGCATTCTTTCTTAAGGGTAACTTGCTATAAGGGCCCACTCACCAATTGAGATCATCTTCGCAGAAGGTTAATGGCAATGGTAAGGAGCCAGACATTTTCAGCCACCACTACAAAGTTACAGGATTTTTATTAAGTTGAAGGGGTTTCAAAACCTTTTTCCTATGACGGACTTTTGGCTGAACTTGGCATTTTCTGTTGTTGCTTTAATGTATCGTTATTTTACTTGGCACTATCTCTATTATACATATTCTAAAATGCTGCGAACTACTTTGAAATGCTTGTGACCATTTTGAACTAGTTGGAAAAGCGGTATAAAATGGTCCAGATAAATAGAATGACCTAACCACATAAAACATTCACATCTTGTGAATATGCTGGTGCCTACTCAGCCTTAGGTAAACATTGGAGGGGGGGGGCTCACCCTAACCAATCGTATAGACATGCTCTGGGGAAGCCACATGGTTACTTTGACCAAGAAGTTATGTTGTACCTACATCATCAGTAAACTTTGCCTGTAATCCTCAGTTCAATTTTCAATTAAAAAAACAGATAATTTCCTTCCTAAAAATAACTTTACATGTATCAATATATAAGTGAAAAACCAGGGAAAGTTGCCAGAACTTTATGATTCTATAGATTTCTCCAGTGTTGTCTGAAGATGCTGTATTCTAAGAGCAAGCTCAACTGCCTGAGTGTCAGCTAATACACAGCCCAAACAACACCAATGAGTCACCAAAGAAAAATATTATCTTGCTCCCAAGGTTTGTAGAAGTATGAAAAAACTTGCTGGAAAAAGCACCTAAGCAGGGCAACCCAAAAAAACTCAGTGGCATACCTGATTAGGCATAGAATACCAACTACTCTGGGAGACACACTCAAAGGTAATGAAATGGTATATCCTGGAAAGAGCATGGGAAACTGGCTGGGAACCTAAATGTAGGTACTCCACACTGCAACATTATGTTGCAGGTCCTACTTGTATGAGACATTTCCTGCAGACATCTATAGGCAGAATGTTCCAGAGTGTATTGGGCACTGCTAAAAAGGATCTTGGTCCCATGCCACCAGCAACCAAAGTTTTGTCATCGGTAGCTTCTGAACAGACCCACTCCAGAATATAATAGGCACTCATTAAGGCATCAGGAATGCATGTTTTAAAGGTCAATTGTGGTGCTTCAAAGAGCAATAGTCAGGGTCAAGCATAAATAAGGTCATACCTTCCTGATCTTGAAAGGTGATGGGCTCCTACATTGCAGAAGATATACCTTCCAAACATTCTTCAATGACAGCCCGATCCAGCATGTTACAATAGACAGTTCTTGAAGTTATAAAGACATAGATGGTGCCCCCACCCCACCTTCAAGTCACCAGAAAAGATTGCAGTAAGCACAGCATATTAAAATGATTTAAAGGATTTATAGATGCTGCAGACACCTGAAATTTCAGGAGCAAAGCTAGGTCTATAATATTCCTAGTCTGTGCACAGAATATTTATTTTATTTTGTCAAATTTCTAAGCCATCCCAAACAGGATTTGTCAGCACAAAGAAAAACTAAACAAAACATTCAAACCAATTTCTACTAAAACAGACATACACAGAACAGATTTCAAAAAACAAAGGCAAATACACTGGCCATAAGAAAAAATGGGGGGGGGACCATGCGTAATGGGGCCCCAGTTCTGGATGAGTTTGTCCATTATTGCAGTCAAGCCTGGAGAATTTCCCAGATGCCTGGTCACCTCTTCAGCTAGAAATTTGAAAGTAACACAAGGGAATGTGATATATGTATTCATTCCTATGCATGGAACTGCAGCCACCAGCCATTCTCATCATCTTTCAAGTAAACCAGACTTTCTTTAGAAGCTACATACACTGGAAGATGTGCAATTAAGTTCAAATGTAAATGTTATCAATCATTTAAAAGAACTGCACAAGACTGTACACGTTCATAACGACAAGATAATTTGGCAAAATTTAGTGGCACGTTTTTAATTTTAGAGCACACTTTTACAATATTTTCTGTACTAAAAAACAGGCAGGAGGGAGGCAGGTAGGAATGCAATTCAGTAAACCCATCCATCCTTAAAGAATGCTATTAATTTATATAGTCCTACATGAGAATGTGTAAATTTATCAAATATTTACACTTCAAAACTCCAACACAATATTCACAAAGGCAAGCACTTATTCTAAGAAAATTAAAACTCGTGTGTTTAATTGTCATTAAAAAGTCACTGAAGACCACATGATGCAAAAGATGCAGGATTAAATTTGCTTGGTCCCACCCCTGCCCACCCCCCACTAAATAAAGATGTAACTTGTCTCACTTTCTACAGTAGTGGCAGAAAGACTGAAAGGGCTTCACAAAACCCTCCTGTGTTAGGGAACGGAAACGCCTAATGAGATTAGTTGGTGTGTGCAGACATTACTTAGCCATGACTAAATGGGCTCCCTTCCTGCAGCCAGTGGAAAATTCAGGGAACTTTTTCCTCCTGCAGCATCAGAGTCCCTCTAACCTTCAGTAAAGCCAGATCCAAAAACAACTCTTTTCTCCCCTCTCCCTCCCCTCTCTTTACGCTGATGGTGTAAAGTATAAAAATGGAAGGGGTAGCGATGTTTGGCGGAGGAAGAGGGCAGGGAACTCGCTCACTCTCTTTCTCCAAAAACTACAAAGGAAACGGCAAAGGAGCAACTACATAAACCTGAAAGGGAGAAACCACAGAGTTTCTTTGTAAGCTACAGTGACTCATTTTCAAGATGTTGTCTGCTGCCAGTTTCAAACCGGAAGCGCATGGCAATTAGTCTTGCTGTTTCCAGACAAGCCAGAAACTCTCCCAACACTTTTCCCCCTCCTCCAAAGCCCCCCCACCTCTGACTGTTTCCTCCTCTCCTCGCAGCCCCCAACAATTTACCCTGCTTCTGATTCCTTAGGAATATCGTCCGGGGTGGTGTTCTCCCCCACCCCACGCGCCCTCCCTGCAGACGAAAATCCGCATTCATTGTCTTCATAAAACGGCCCATGTGGCTTGCTACAAGCAGGATACCGCCACCAAACCCCGCCAGGTTACGTACACACGTAACGGCACACACACACACGCGAGCAGAAGTGGCTGCTGGAGACGGAGCTCCCAGAGTCTGATTCGTATTTAAACCTGTCAGACGGCGTGCACCCCCCGCGCCCTCCTTGCAGCTCGCTCACTTCAAAACGCGTGACCCAAAGGCCGCTTCCCCACATGTAAGATGAGCTCTCCCCGCAACCCCCTCGATGCAGGAGTCCAACGCGGCCTCCTCCCCCCACCCTAGGCGCTCTGCGCGAGGCAGGCAACCCCCGACCTCTTCGCCTTCCTCCCCCCCCAAAGGGGTCCCCATCTCTCCTTCCCCCTTTCGGCCAGCGACAGGTGGACACTTGGGCACACTTCTGTACACACACACACACACACGGAGCGGGCATAACACGTCGCCTCCCAAAGTCAGGAGCCCTTCCCTGCCTCCCCCGGCCGCGCTCGGGGGTCCCCGCTGAGCCCCCTCGCATGGACGAGAGGAGGGAGGTCTCACCTTTCCCCCCCCGCACGACTTTCGAGGCCAGGCCCCCCCCCCCGCCATTTGCTCCCTCCGACTTTCCCCGCCCCCACTGCCAGATGGCACTTGGGTCCCGCAGCAGGCGCCTCGCACGGCGCTTCTGCAGCCGCTCGATCCGGGCACGCAGCACGCGGGGCGCCTCTCTCCCTCCCGGAGCCCGAGGCGGACGGACGTCTGGCTGGCACGGTCCCCCTTCTGCCCCGGATCGCGGAGTGCGGCGCCAGCAGGCAGGGCAAAGCGGACGGACCGACCCCTCCAACCCCGGAGCCTTTCCCCACGCAGTTCCCACCTGTCTCTCCCTTTTCTGGCTCGAACTTCAAACTCTGCCCAACTTTCGAGCTACGTACCCAGAGCCTGGTGGGCTTTTCCAGCCTCTTCTGGCCGACTTAAAGGGAGCGGTGTAAAATCCCCCGGTTTTCCATGCTGACAGTCCTCTAAAACGCTCTGTTGGTCTTGTAATGAGATCCTGATTTCCCCCCTTGTTTCTTTCTCTCTTCCACCCCCCCCCTTGGTTGGTGTGTGTGCGAGAGTGAGAGAGAGAGAGCAGGAAGTTGGAGCAGTCAGACAGAGAGCCGGCTCACTTCCTTTCCTGCATTATTCCCCAGGCGGTTTGCAGTCTGTGTAAACAGGCTTTTCCTCCCTTCTCCCCTCTCTCTGGCCACTGATGTGCAGGCAGCATTGCTGTAATATAAGACACACACATAGTAGTATGGTAACGGTAACTTCACTCTCACATACACACCAACCAAGGAACTCGAACAGCTCCCTCTGACCTCCACCTCTTCCTGTTCTGTACCCCCGGGGAGGAGCTTCAAACAAGAGCAACAAACTCTGCTCATCAGCAACAGCTACTAAAAAACATAAGGTGGCTTTGCAGAAAGAATCCAGCTTTTCCAAAGCATGATGCCAGCTAGGAGGAATAACTTTGCTATTCTTGCAGACTGGAGAACAAAGCCCTGTGTGGGGCCCACATACGCACCATATTTGCACATTAAACATTGTTTTGCATAATTGTACAATAACAAACTGGAATCAGAAACATGCACGCAAGTATATTTATTACATTGCGCTAAAACCAACATTTTGATTAATCTTGTTTCAAGAAAAAACAGCAACATATTTGGTACTTTCTGCTCCTGTTGGGTCCTGCAGATGACTGGCCATCATAACTGCTTCCACAAGAGTCCTACTTGCACATTCAGAGGCTCTCTCTTAAGCAGTAATTAGACCAGAATGCTAAAAAAATTAAATTCAAGAAATACATACTGAATTCAATAGAAACTTTAAACTGCAGCCCAGCATACAGCCTGCTGAAATTTCAATGGGATTTAAGGAGTTTAACACTGTACTGGATTGTAGTCCTATTGTTTGCTTGTTTGTTTGTTTAAGTCATTTGTATCCTGCTCTTCAGCCAGAAAGTTCCTATCCTCTAAGCACACAACACAAAAAGGACAGGGATGGAGAGGAGAAAACCTATTAATTCACACCTAAGATATATAACAATTGAAAGACTACAATCTGAACTAAGTGGAAATAGTGAATGCAGTGCCATCAAATTAACTGTATATGTAACTGGACAATTGTTAAGAAAATTCAACACAGTTGCAAACTCCTTAAAATGAGAGGGGTTTGTAAAGAGGAAGTAGAATGGGAAAGTCAAGAGAGTCAACTCTCTCCAGAACACTTGGAGTTGTTTAAAACCACAATAATGGAAGTGCAACTAGGAAGTGTACTGGAAATCAAGAAAATTGCCAGCACATCCAAGAGGATACCAGCATGGTTAATGAGCAGAGTCAAACCAGTAAAGGTAAGAACATTACTTCCAGAAATTGAATTCTTACCCAAAATGAGAAATTTAAAGAAATGCTGACCCGGGCAAAAGAGAGACACATGAAAATGTGAGGAGTCTATCACTAAAACAAGGGAATTGAAGGTGTTCTAGTCCAATACAGCTGAGGGCACCAGATTGGGGAGCGTGGTTCTAGAAAAAGAAGTGTAGAGAAGGGCAATCTAATTATCTGTGGTTTTCTCAGATAACTCTTTCTCCTGAATTCTCATGAATTCCACAGGAGAAGCCCAAGTGACAATGGTGTCCAGGAATATGTTTTACCAGCTTAGGCTAATACAGCAGCTGCAGACCTGTCTGAAAGAGATGGATATTTCCACAGTTATCCATATACCAGTGGAGTTCAACCCGGACTGTTGTACTCCACATGGAGCTTCCTTTGAAGCCAGTTTGGAAAGATCAGCTGGTATAGAATGCAACTGTCCCTATTGATAAGGGCAAAGTGGTCATAGTATATAACACTTACCAGCACAAGCTGCAGTGGTTTTCACCATGTTTCCAAGCCCAATTTAAAGTATTGGTATGGAACCAAATGATTGGGGTACTGTCTTCACCCATATCAACATGCCTGCCCTTTAATATCAGTAGCTGAATTATTTTCTGGGCAGTTAAGTGTGCAGGAACCCAGAAGAGGGTTTTTTTCCACAGTGGACCCACCCCTCTGGAATGGGTTGACACTGGGAATCTATCAGGCCCCTACAGTGCAAATTTTTAGAAATACTCTAAAGACTTGTTTTCTCTGGCCTTCCACTGGTTATATTTTATTCGACTGTTTTGGTTTGTAGCTACAACACTGTTGTAGTTCTTAGTTCTGTCTAGCCCAGATACGTTACCGCTGGTGTTTGCTGATTTATTTGCTATTTTATTATGCTATGGAGTTTTATTATTTATATAATGGTTTATTGTTCTAAGTGACCTCTGGAGAGCTCCTTTTCTGAAAGGCAACCGAGGAATCGTTTGAATAAATAATAAATGAACAAATAAGCTATATCACAAAAACAATGTTAAGTTGCCAGTAAACCCCTTCTAAGGAAATTCAGTCCTAAGTTAGCTCTAGAACTCACACTGCTCAGAAGTGGGATGCACACATGTAACAATACTGATGTTCATTACATCAAATACCCTTCAGGTGTTCTTCTCTACTCCAGGGACCAATGTTAGTTCTGCCCATCTAGAGACCATGTATATTCTGGATGGGGCTCCCACTGTCCACAGGATCTCAATAGCCATGATTGTGCCTGTTTACAGGAAATGCCGGTAAGAACCAAGGATGGGGCTGATTGAGAAAGCATATCCCATAAAGAGGCACAAGTCTCTCTGTTTCTCCAGGTACACATATCACACATTTTAATTCTCTCTTATTTGTACCCTGCTTCTCTAGTCAGTCAGGGCCTGTAATAGCACTCCCTTACTGTTCAGAATGTAGCCTTTTCCATGCTGATCTCTGATCAGATCTCTGTAATAGCATATCATTTGGCCCTCTGGTACCAAAACAAAGGTGTCCTTTAAAAGGCAAGTGCTTTCCATCTTCCTTTTTGTAAGGTTGGGGTAGACAGCTCATTCTTTTAAATCTGTGTTTGAATCTGCCCAGCAGTGGTGTGCCCTCTTTGCATTGACAGTAGAAAGACACCCTCCACCAGGAGACACACAGGGTCAATGGCTTCTCTGCCTGAACTATAGCATACAAAGCCATACATGTTTGGACAGAACAAAAAATGCCCTACAACCCCCAGTATTCCTCCATCCAGCAATATTCGGTGAGGCATGCTGGGAACTGTAGAATTTTCTCTAATATTCATAGGCTTGTGCATTAATCATATTCCACCAGGTGCTGAGACCCGTAGGAAGCAAAAGAGGAGGTCCTGGGAGGTTGCCACAACAGGGGGAGTGGACGGAGTTTGGCTAGGTGGTTTAGGAGATGAGTGGTGGACCTGCACTGGAGTTAGGTACTACTTTTTAAACTGGATCATTGTAGTTCTCAGATGTCTTAACTGAATGTGTATTCATGCTTCCTTTAGAATAGCTGCAGCTAACTTCTGCAAAGGAGAATTAAACCTTTCAGCAATTCTGAAAGAATTCTGAAAGAAGCGGCACGCTTTTTAATGGTTCTACTTCCATGTCAATTTAGTTGGGAGGCTTAGACAACTGTTATTTCAGACAACTTCATAGTCTATGTATACCTGTCATGCTGTTTTAAACCTATCTGATTTTTACAAAATCCATCTCCCTCACACAGAGACTCCACACAAAACTATGGTGGCTTTAATATTATAATACTGTGTTCTTTCTAACCTGTTTTTCTTTTTATATCAGCAACTACATATCCATCCATTATTTTTATTACATTGGCTTGCAAAGAAACATTCCGCAAGTAAGAGGAAATCTAATGAACTGCTGGTAATTTTTGGCCAATGTTTATGTTTGAACTTTTCTCCTTCTTCCTGTAGAAACTTCCGTATCCTCTTCCTGTGTCCCTGCAAAGGATTGTACAATGTCGAACAAGAAATGCTACATAGGCAGTACTCCACCTTTCTCCTTCCTGCAAGGATATCCTTTTCCTTGTAGAAATGTTAAGAATGTAATGTTCCTATCAAAATGTAGGTTTATTATTTGGCTCTGTCCATTTCTGAATTTAACGAAAGATGAAAGTAGATGTATTTACAATCACACATTTTCCCTCTTCTCTATGAAATTTTCTTATTCAAAATTACCTAAAAGCTGATTCAAATTGACTTGCATTCCAGGATTTTATCAAGAGTACAAGTCCAAGATAAATGAGAAAGGGGTGGGTAAGCTGTTTCTCTTCATTGTTTCAAATGAATGAACAGGAAAGGGGGTTGAGGAGAAGGGAGGACTTTTTACCTGCCTGACACCAGAGCAATATTAATTTAACACCAATATAGCTTTGTCAAGTTACAGGCTGAACTTTTCATCTGTCACACCTCCTTTTTCCCTCTGAACCCCAGAGCGTTTATTTTGCTCGCCTTCACTGTTAGCCAAGTATAGAATCGCTCTACAGATAGCCTTTTTAAAGACAGATACACACTTGCAGATGGATTGCCAGAATTGTTGATCACAAGAGCAAAATGATGGCTCGTGCACTATCACAGGAAAATGTTGGGGTGAGGCATCTTCTTAGTATTCATGCCTGTGACTCACGGATGGAGCAGTTGCAAGTTTTCCAGGGCCAGCAGGCTACTTTGCTGTTTTCCCCACCAAGAAAAATGGCCTTTCTGCACAATATAAAATTCATCCATAAAGGAAACGATAGCCCATTTCTGCAACTGAAAAATGTACCTCTTCCGTCTGATTTAATTAATGCTGTCTAATCCTAGGTATAGTTACTCAGAAATAGATCTAACACAGTGGGACTTACTCTCAGTTGTGCACATTGGGATAGACAAAAAAGTAGGTAGGTCACTGTGTTGGTCCATTAGAGAAAACAAAACAAATGCCACAGTGGGGTAATACAGAGATGAAGACCACTGACATGTCACAACAGAGTGAAAAGGCTTTTAAATTTCCTTCTTCTGACTGCCTGATAAACTTGTGGCAGGGGAAGAGAAAAAGGCTGACCATGATGATTCTGATGAAAGTTTGCTAATTGCTTGTAACAGTCATAAGATGGAGTTCAGGAGGAGCTAGGCCCAGAGTAAACAGCATGCAGTCCTGGATGTGTTTCAGCCTACAATTTGCATAATCTCACATCACTGCTTATGGAACTAGGGCTGATGGAATCTGTAAGACAAAACAACTGGAGGATGTGCATTGCCCAGCTCTATGTTAGGCAGAAGTTATAAAACAGAATTGTGAGGGCATCCATATCAACATCAATATGGGTGACAACACATCACTCTGGAAATATGAATACAGACCTGCAGACTGATAGGCAGCACATGATATTCCAA